AAGAGTGAAATCTTGCCATTTGCAACAACATGGATGCACTTGGAGGGTGTTATGTAAGTGAAATAAGTTAGAGAAAGACAAATACTTATCACTTACATGTGGATACCATTTGTAATATAATATCACTATGGGGGAATCCAAAAAATACAATAGCCAGTGATTATAACAAGAAAGCAGACTCACAGACACAGAGAACAAAACGGTGGTTACGACTGAGGGGAGGAATGGGGAGGGGCAACACGGGGAGGGTTAGGAGTACAAACCATTACGTATAAAATAAAATACAATGATATGTTGGGCAGTACAGGGAATACAACCAGTATTTTATAGTAACTATAAATGGAGTACAACCTTTAAAACTGTGACTCACTATATTGTACACCTGTAACTTATACGATTTTGTACATCAAATATACTGGGACTAAATAATTTGCCCTGCAAAAAGCAAAACAAAACAAAAAAGATGCAGCCTCAAGCAAAGGTTATCACAAACAAGGAACAACTGCGCAAACAGAGTCTGCAAAAACCCACAAATAACCGGGGCGGGAGGACAGTCCAGGGCCGTGTCCACAGTGGAGCGGGGCACCCACCGTGGGAGAGGGAGAGGCCGAGAGGGCGGGTCCAGGGGCGACTGGGGAGGGAAGCAGAGGAAGAGCTCAGCGACAAGCCTCTCTGCTGGGCTGGCACTGCTGCCCGTGAGGCAGCCTGGAAGGGTTTCCCAAATGTGCAGTGTGTGTTTGGGGTCGGATGACTTAAATTGTAGATTACGTGGAAACACAAAATTATCCCTGGAGAACCTTAGAGGGAGCTGAAATCAAAGCCAGGCTTTAGCATTTGGTGGGATGTTTGACCTCATTTGACTTTAAAAAAAGAGAAAAGTGGGAAAGGAGAGATAGAAACTGGAAGAAATAGCAGAGGGATCCTATAGCAGTTAAAAGAAAGAGAAGACCCCTCAGCCCCGCGCCCCGCGAACTCAGGAAACACAGGCCACCACGCTCAGGTCTCTCAGACAGAGACAAGCTTGGCGCTTCACTACAAGTGCCAAGCCACAGCTTACACCAAATCTCCAGGAGTGTCCGCAACAGGCTGCTTCTGCACAAGCAGCTGGTTACCACAGTGCCCGGGAACACCGCTCGAGTTACCGGTGGACGGGTGGAGGGAAGGGCGGATGGGGAGTGGGGAAGTGGATGGGAGAATGTAGGGATACATGGATGGCTGGGGAGGACGGGGGAATGGATGGGGAAGAACGAATGGGGGATTGATGGCAGAATGGAAAAATATGTGGACGTGTGACGGACGGGGGAGGGAGGAACGAGTGGAGGATGAAAAGATGATGGGGAGACGGATGAATAAATGGATGTGTGGATACAGGGATGGAGAGGGGACGGAGGGAGGGATGGGGAGATGGATGAATAAATGGATGTGTGGATACAGGGATGGACGGGGGATGAGAGGATGGATGGGGAGACGGATGAATAAATGGATGTGTGGATACAGGGATGGAGAGGGGACAGAGGGAGGGATGGGGAGACAGATGAATAAATGGATGTGTGGATACAGGGATGGAGAGGGGACGGAGGGAGGGATGGGGAGATGGATGAATAAATGGACATGTGACAGATGGAGGAACAGGTGGAGGATGAGAGGATGATGGGGAGACATGAATAAATGGATGTGTGGATACAGGGATGGACAGGGGACGGAGGAATGGATGCATAGGTGGGTGGACAGACAGGATCGGAGGATGGGTGAGCAGAAGGTGGAGAGTGGGTGGATGGAGGTACTGACTGAATTCGTTAGTGGTGATCAAAGTTTGCCCAATAACACCTGCTTGCCTAGTTGGTCCAAAAATTAACTGACCAGTTCCCAGAGGAACAGATAGATAAGAACCTTCCAATTCAAAGGGCCCATCAAGCACTAGACAGGATAAGCGAGAAAGCCCCCCCAAACCTTCAGAGAGAAAGGTCTTGCGCGAAGGACGAGAACCTGCCAGCAGGTGTCCAAGGACAGCAGAGCCCAGCCCCCCAGGCGCCGGGCCCCGCACGCGGGGCAGCAGGCAAGTGGAGGCCGCGGCCGGGTGCTCAGGCCGGGACGCACCGAGGCCCTTAGTGAGTCGGCTGTGCTGTCAGCGCCCCCGCCAGGACTCCCCCTGCGGCAGCTGTAACAGGTGGGGCTGCTCAGAAAAGGCGGGCGTGCAGTGTGACGGCCAAGCGCAGGGAGGCGTGAGTCTGCGTCCACTGCTCCGGCCGGCAGGACGGGCCCCGCCGGGAGCAGAGGCCCCTCTCGGCAGGGCTGGGCCCGGGCCCCACGCACACGCTGGCAGAGGCAGACTGAATCCACCAGCCAGCCAGCCAGGCAGCCAGGAGTGCTGCAGGCAGCGCCCCCAGACCCACCCTCGGCTCTCTGGCGGCGGCCACAGCCGGGCTCCCCACCCCCACCCCGAAGGACTTCTCAGCCTCTGCAGCAAAGAAGGAAGGACTCTTTTTAAAAGGCCCTCTGGCTTTTTGTCCCTTTCCGGCCTTCAAGATGTCGAAGCGAGGACGTGGTGGGTCCTCTGGTGCGAAATTCCGGATTTCCTTGGGTCTTCCGGTTGGAGCCGTGATCAACTGTGCTGACAACACAGGAGCCAAAAATCTGTATATCATCTTTGTGAAGGCGATCAAGGGACGATTGAATAGACTTCCTGCTGCTGGTGTGGGTGACATGGTGATGGCTACAGTCAAGAAAGGCAAACCAGAGCTCAGAAAGAAGGCGGTGGTAATTCGACAACGAAAGTCATACCGGAGAAAAGATGGTGTGTTTCTTTATTTTGAAGATAATGCAGGGGTCATAGTAAACAATAAAGGCGAGATGAAAGGTTCTGCCATCACAGGACCAGTTGCAAAGGAATGTGCAGACTTGTGGCCCAGGATTGCATCCAATGCTGGCAGCATTGCATGATTCTTTGGTGTATTTGTAAAAAATAAAAATTATTTGCTCCCAAAAAAAATAAAAATAAAAAAAAAATAAAAGGCCCTCTGGTCAGGTAGCATCTCCCGAGTGCGCAGTTCCACCCCTCCCCTGAAAACCAGAGGTACTAAAATAGCTCTACTGACAGGCGTCTGCCCAGGTCACCCCACAAACTGACAGGAGGCCTGTGCCGGGCAGGTCTATTCTAGGACGAGGAAGAGAGACACGAGCTCAGCCAGGGGGAGCCCGTCCTGGGGAACACATCTTTGGGGGGAGCCGCCCTGGGGGTCCACCTTCTGGCTGCGCCAACTGGCTGAGACAGCACAGCAGGCCGCTCCAGTCGGGGCCCTGACTGTGCAGCTGGGGGCCTGCGGGCATGTCCTGTACGGAGACCCCGGAGCACCTTTCCTGGGCGGCAGGCGGAGGCTCGAACTCTGCCACCGTCTGACGAGCCACAGTGCCTGGTGGACAACAGGGGACCCCACGCAGCTCCCCAAGGGCAACAAATGGCTTGGGCCCCTCACCCCTACACCAGCCTCGCCTGTATGCTCCCCCCTGGATGTCCCTCCCAGACCACCCGCCTTCCACAGGGTGCAGCACCAGCCCAAAACGCAGGTACTGTGCGGGTGTGGGATGTGCGGGTGTGGGGATGTGCAAGTGTGGGATGTGCGGGTGTGGGGATGTGCAGGTGTGGGATGTGCGTGTGTGGGGATATGCGGGTGTGGGATGTGCGGGTGTGGGGATGTGCGTGTGTGGGGATATGCGGGCGTGGGATGTGCGGGTGTGGGGATATGCGGGTGTGGGATGTGCGGGTGTGGGGATGTGCGGGTGTGGGATGTGCGGGTGTGGGGATGTGCGGGTGTGGGATGTGCGGGTGTGGGGATATGCGGGTGTGGGATGTGCGGGTGTGGGGATGTGCGGTGTGGGGATATGCGGGTGTGGGATGTGCGGGTGTGGGGATGTGCGTGTGTGGGGATATGCGGGCGTGGGATGTGAGGGTGTGGGATGTGCAGATGTGCAGGTGCAGCGGGAGGTCTCTGCGCCCAGGTCCTGTGTCCCCTGGAGCGGGAGGAAATGCGCAGGGAGCCCCCACGGAGTTGGGAGCCGTCCAGGACTCAGTGTTAGGTTTAATGACTTCAGTCCACAGAGGCTAAGTTTTCTACAAAGAACAGATATGACCTTTGCCGTGAGGAAAACAGATGACTGAAAAGGGCGCCGGGTTTTTGATACACAGGCCCATCCTCAGCCACACCCAGCCCCCAGTCGTACACAAAGGCAGGCAGCTTCTCTCCAGCCCCAGGTCGGTCCTGCCCCACCGAGGCTCGGGAAACCGCCCTGCTGGGGTCTCAGGAGACACTGCGTGTCCTGGGAAGGGGACCGGCAAGGGCGTGAGGGCTCAGCAAGACCCCCGCCCTGGTCGAAAGAAAGCAGGTGCCAGGGGAGGGGGTGGGGCGACCCCTCACGTCCGTCAACCGCGGTCTGGACCAGCGCCACTCAGAAAGGAGGCGCAGGGAGCAGCGGGTGCCACGCGGGAGAAAACTGGAGAAAGTCCGCTCGGGCACGTTCCCAGGCCCCGGAGAGGGAAGCGGCAGCCCACCTCACTCCCTGTCCCCAGACCCCGGTGCCTCATCACTGCGGCCCCCCGAGCCAGCCCAACACCTCCAACGACGGCTGCCAGCCCAGCCGCACAGCCAGGTGGGCCTCGTGGAGCCCCCCACCCCGGGGTCCCTGCAAACATCCAAACGAGAGCCGCGGGGGCGCGGCGGGTGGCCAGGGTCACGCACCCCTCTCTGCTCAGGTCACCTGCCTCTTCCGAGTCCTGACCTGGACCCCGAGGGGTGTCCTGAGGCTCAAGTGCCAGAGCAGGCTGACCCGCTCCTATCCAGGGGAGGACCCCGGCGGGAGGGGTCAGATCACAGGCCGGGAACCCGCGGAGGAGTGTACAGGGTCGGCCGTTCACACGCGACGCACAGGGAGAGCCTCAAGCTGAAATCCATTAGCCCGAGTCCAGGTCACAGCGGAGAGAGGCGACCCCGAGCTGCGGGCTGGCTTCACGCGCGCGCGCCCCTCGCGCGGCCGGGCTGGGCACCCGACCCCCACCGCCGGAAGCCCGCCCCTCTCGCCATGCTGCCTCCGAACTCATCCCGGCCCTCTGCCCGGCGCCCACAGGCCCTGGCGGCCCAGCTGCTCACCCCCCGCCCCCGCCTCTGTGCAGGACAGCGCCCTTTCCCTGGGGGCTGGGGGGTGGGGGTGGTTGCCGGGTGAAAGCGCTGCGTGTGGGGAAAGGCGCAAACGATGGGCTCACTGGCCTCCGGCAGGAGCCACGGCGAGCTAGGAACGACGGCCCTCGCCTGCCGGAGAGAACACCGCGGAGGCTCCACAGGAGGCCCCCAGAGGCCTCAAGAAAGCGCTGCCAGTGGAAAGCCAGCCAGCGAGAGCTGAGTCACAGGGGGGACAAAATGAAACCTGGGTGCCGGCCCCCCCAAATTCTACTGGCAGGAGGCAGGCTGAGAAAGCAACTCAACCGCAGACGTGTGCAACCCTCGTGAGGCGGGAAGGCGGAGCGAGAGCCAGCGCCCCGGACTTCCGGATCCGGGAGCTTCCGGCACGTCGGGGCTGTGCCGGACGCCTGCATGTCACTTCTGAGGAGCGTCTACGGGGTCATCCCGTGTCTGTCCCAGCACGGCCCTCCTGCTGAGGGGCAGGGCTGAGCGCCGGTCTCCTCAGTTCAGGCCTGCGATGGAGAGGAGGGGCAGGCCCGGAGCGGCACTCTAGGAACCACACCGCTGGGGAGCCTCCTGCAGAGTCGTGAGGGGCGTGGGTCTTGCCTGTGGCAGGGATGAGTCACTGAGGCCGCGGGCTGGACACAGACACAGGCCTCCCAGAGGCCCCAGTGATCCTGCCCGCGGTCGCCAGCTCTTGGCAGGCCCCTCCCCAGAGGGCAGGCTCCACGAGGGCCCCCTTCAAACCAACAGAACATGCAGACGTGAGGAGAGGTTGCTTTCAAAGGCTCCCCTGCTCACCCCTCCGTCACCTGCTCCGAGGAAGGTCAGCTGCCAGGCGGTGAGCTGCCCTTAGAAACCGCCCACGCGGCAAAGAAGGCCCCTGGCGCCAGCCAGCAAGGTTACACGAGTGACCCGGGATGTGGATGCTCCGAGGCCACCAAGCATCGTGAGGGTGAGCCTGGTCCTCTGCACCACACCGGCCATCACCCCGAAGCCAACCTCGAGAGACCCGGCATGGAGGAGCCAGCTCAGCGGCAGCGGGCTCCTAACCAAAGGGACTGGGAGGCCGGAAACACTAGTCTCTTGGGGGGTGGTCTGTCACTCGACAGCAATAACTGATGTGCTGTCGAATCCAGTAACTAACGTGCTACCTAATTCCAAATTGGGAAAGGAGTACTCAAGGCTGTATATTGTCACCCTGCATATTTAACTTACATGCAGAGTACATCATGAGAAATGCTGGGCTGGATGAAGCACAAGCTGGAATCAAGATTGCCAGGAAAAATATCAATAACCTCAGATATGCAGATGACACCACCCTTATGGCAGAAAGTGAAGAAGAACTAAAGGGCCTCTTGATGAAAGTGAAAGAGGAGAGTGAAAAAGTTGGCTTAAAGCTCAACATTCAGAAAACTAAGATCATGACATCTTGTCCCATCACTTCATGGCAAATAGATGGAGAAACAGTGGAGACAGTGACAGACTTTATTTTGGGGGACTCCAAAATCACTGCAGATGGTGACTGCAAGCCATGAAATTAAAAGATGCTTGCTCCCTGAAAGAAAAGGTATGTCCAACCTAGATACCATATTGAAAAGCAGAGACATTACTTTGCCAGCAAAGGTCTGTCTAGTCAAAGCTATGGTTTTTCCAGTAGTCATATATGGATGTGAAATTTGGACCATAAAGAAAGCTGAGCGCCAAAGAATTGATGCTTTTGAATTCTGGTGTTGGAGAAGACTCTTGAGAGTCCCTTGGACTGCAAGGAGATCCAACCAGTCCATCCTAAAGGAGATCAGTCCTGAGTATTCATTGGAAGGACTGATGTTGAAGCTGAAACTCCAATACTTTGGCCACCTGATGTGAAGAACTGACTCATTTGAAAAGACCCTGATGCTAGGAAAGATTGGGGGCAGGAGGAGAAGGGGACGACAGGGGATGAGATGGTTGGATGGCATCACCGACTCAATGGACATGAGTTTGAGCAAGCTCCGGGAGTTGGTGATGGACAAGGAGGCCTGGCGTGCTGCAGTCCATGGGGTCGCAAAGAGTCGGACATGAATAAGGGACTGAACTGAATCCAATACATGAACGCTGTCACTTTATTTGTCCCCATTCCTGCTGCAAACACACACAAAACAGCATGATGTTGATTTCTAAGCATCAATGCACTGATTAAGCATTTTTCCCTCAAATCTCATCTTCAATGAGCTGATTAAGGGAATCATGCTGCATAAACCAGAGATAAACTGACTGAAAATGGGGGAATCACCTAATAAAAATGATTACTATCAGATGACAACCTGGTCAATCAGTGTGTGACGGTCCCATTTCACAGAAGAAGAAACCGAGGCTCGGGCTCCTTGCCTACAACCATGACCAAAGACAAGAGTTAGGATTCCATTCGGGTGAACTGACTTCAATTTGGGCTCTTAACCAGACCCTGGCTGCCCCCGCTTTTCACATTAGCATGGGAGCAAATGCCAGTGTGGAAGCTGACCTCCCCTGAAGCATTCCTGCTAACAAAAATTATCCACCTGCTTCTCAAATGGCCTGTCTCAATTCCTAGGGAGCGTCATCTCCCACGTTTGAACATTAAGTTCAGGAAGCAGGTCAGCAGCTCCCCAGATTATTGGGATGCATGGTTGTTGAATAATTTATGATGGACTGAATGGAGTACAATGTATAAAGTGTTCCAGCTTTGCATTTGGTTATTATGCAGAGTTTTTCCTGGGTTTTGTTTTTAAATGTCAGTTTTTAAGGGTTTAACACTTTAAGCCCAGAGACACCAAGAGGCCAAGGCTGCAGAGACGCGGAATGGATGCTCTGGCTGTGTCCTCGGAGGGCACATCCATCTCCGCTCAGCAAGAGCCAGGTCACAGTGAGGCAGCCACACATCTGTGAGGGATGGAGGCGTGTGTGTGTACCTATGGCTGATTCATGACGGTACTTGGCAGAAAACAACAAAATTCTGTAAAGCAATTATCCCTCAAATTAAAAAAAAAACACGAAACAGTGAAGTGGCTCTTGGAATTAGGAGGCACAGCAAACATAGACAACTAGGAAAAAGGAGAAAAAAATGAGAGAGAGGAAATGAAAGATTGGCAGACTTAAGAATACAAAACACCTCAGGAAAATGTAAACACAATTATTACTCATGGTCTAATAAAGTTAAAGGACATGGAATTCCAAAAATAATGTCAAGTTGAAGACATACAGCGATGCTGATGCCATACTTACAGCCTACAGAGACGCTAAGACACCAGCTTTAAACTCATCCAGCTCCATTTCCCTCCACGAGATGACATCGCAGGGTGTCTGTCTTACACTCTGCGCTCCCTCTTCCCTCCGTGGGACGGGCGAGTGCGGCTCAGCTACAGAGGGAGGAAGACCACCGAGCCCGCAAGCACCCAAAGCGCGCAGAGCAGAAGGGCCCCGGGAACCGGACACCTCCCAGGCGGCCTGAATATTTCATCGCCGTCCCCGGCGCCCCTGCTACGCCAGCCCTCTGCCTTTTCTCCAAGTGGAGAAGACAGTCTAGACATAGCAGAAAAGACACTTTTAAATCACAAAGGTCCGTGTTACTAACTTAGATTTATTACTGTATTACATCTTTCTGAGCGATTCTGATGCTATATAAAGTTTACATCGTGAAAAATCCACATGATAACCAATGAAGAGAAGCAAATGTTTGTGCTCTGTCTCATCTAAAAGAAAAAAATAAAAGTGTAAAACACTGCAAATCAACTGTGCCACAACAAAAAATTTAAGTTAAAAAACAATTATTTTTTAAGCTTAAGACCTCCAATGAGCAGGTGCTCTCAGTTGGGCTGGCACAGGCACTGAGGGGCCAGACCCCTGCAGCTCAGAAGACACAAAGACCTCATGCTGCGGCCAGATGTTCGTGTGCATAGAGACCGCTCCCGAGCACACGGGCATCACTGCGGACCAGGGACCCTCTGCTAGCACTGGGCATTGCACTCCAGTGTGCTGGGCATGATGGAGACACTGGGATGCGTGCACTCTGGAGCAAGTCTTTGAATCCTGTCACAACAAAAACACTCTACACACAAAGGAATTTCACAAAGGTCTCAATTACAGGCAGGCAGCCAGAATCCAGGTGGGAAACGGCAGGGCTGATCCCAGCTGAGGTGGGGGCAGGGACAGGTGGGGCAGGCCGGGTGGGGGCTGCTGGCAGCTGCAGGAGCGCACACCTGCGGGCCCCGCCCCACGCCACCCTGTCCCCCCACATGCTCCCAGGGCCCCGCCCAGGCCGCAGTGCCAGCCGAGCAGGCCCAGCGTCAGCCATGGCCATCCTGCTCGCTCACTCACTCACCCACCCAGGAGCCGGCCGGGGGCCCCTGCGGCAGCACTAGGCAGACAGGCGTGACCAGGTGACCAGTGGCGGCCGGCACAACAGGCCGGTGCGACCATACCCGGACGTGGGGACACAGAAGGCCCCGCAGCCCTAACCCACTTGAAAAACCGCTCGTTCCAGAACCTACCCCCCACCTCCCTCCGCGGCTCCTTGGCTCAGCTTGCCCCGTTCCTCCTGAGACCCCCTCAAGCCCGCCCCCCCACGTGACAGTCGTAAGCAGCAGCAGAAACATCAGCTCGGGTACATGTGCCACAAGGTCAGGACACACGGAGGCCGTGAACCCAGAGGCCCTGACTGTCCAGAAGCACCACACCAACCAGGAGCCCCTTCGCTCCCACCCGGCCCCCGACAGCCAGGCCTGAGTGGGAGGTGGGTCCAGAAGCGGGTGCCGACCTACTCCTGCCTTCGTCGGGCAGACCCCACCCACCAGCTCCTGGCTGGCTCGGGGCACCAGCCTGGCCATAACTGGCTGGGGAAAAGCAAGCAGAATGAGCCAAAGCTACAGCGTTTCAGGGTCTACAGCTGATGGGACTGCGGGGCTATTTCTGACTCCAGAAACAAAATCTGGTTCAATAACCTTCAAATTAACTGGAGGTTAAACCATTTCAATTTTCCCTTCCCATTATTCTTTGACACTCCTTTTTTATCTGTGCTCTGTATTTATTTCTGTTTGTGGTTTTTAAACCTGGTGAAGGGAGGATATAAATAAAGTTACAGGGTTTAGCAAATAAAAATAAAGGACATTCAGTTAAATTTGAATTTCAGATAAAAAGACAAATATCTTTGTAGTCAAAGTAGGCCCCAAATATCGCCCAGCAGGTTTTATCTGACAAATCTAACCACGAAGAGGGCCCCGTTTCAGGCCTCCTACAGGAGACTGCCTGCGCCTGCAGATCCGGTCACCCGCTGCAGGACGCGAGAGGGAAAAGCCGTGAGCGCCTCAGCGTCCTGACTCCGCTTTCTCCAGCCGGGCGGACGGGAGGCTTCTGCAGCCTGCGTCTCTCCCTGGCACCTTCAGGGAGACACGGGGTCCCCGGTGCCCACTGGAACCCACCCAGGAGGCACGGCTGCGGCAGGGCGGGTGGCAGGAGGCGCGTCTCCACCCTCCTCCGCCCCCACCCACCCCTGCCCGCGACCCCACGGGGCTCCTCACGCCCCAGGTCCAGGGTGTGCTGGGTGGACGGCGGCCCCAAAGTCGTGAGGTCTGAACACCCAGAGCCTGGAAGTGCCCCTTGTGGAAAGGGCCCTGCAGATGGGCCTACAGGCGGGTTCTGAGAGGAGGAGGCCGTGCCGGTTACCATGGGCCTGTGCCATCAGATGTGTTCTTGGCGGAGGCAGAGGGACGGGGGCCCGGGGAGGCCCTGTGAAGACGGAGGCGGGGACTGGGGCGGGAGCGTCGCGGTCACAAGGAGCCTCCGGAGCTGAGGGAGGCGGGAGGACCCCCCCCACCCCCAGGAGCCTCTGGAGGGCACAGGCAGGCCCTGCCCACACCTCCAGGCGGGCATCTGCATCCAGCTGAGTGAAAATAAACCTCCACCTGAGGCCCCCAGCTGGCGGTACTGTGTTACAATGGCCGTGGGAAATGCGCGCCGCGGGGCTCCAGGGCCTCCCCCGGCCCCCGCCGCTCACCCCCGAGGTGCGGAGCAGCCAGGCTGCCTGGCACCACTGCCCATCCCTCTGGGCTGGGCTCCAGACCAGAAGGCGGTCTGGGCACCTCACGCTGCCCAAGTACCTCCAGGTAATATGTGTCCCAGGTTGGGCTTTGTGGGGCGGGCCACAGGCTGGCACGAAATAGGGGCTGGACGCAGATGCACCCATGGGTGCCCACCAGCTCAGAGCAGCCAGGCTGAGGACACCCGCAATGCCCTGCAGGCCACATGGCCCCCGGCGTCTCACACTCACTCTCCTAGCTCATCCGCACGGCAGTCTCAGCATTAACCACACTTTACAGAGACTGGCACGGAGAGGCAGCCTGACAAGGCCGGGCTGGACAGCAGGGTGGGTGAGGAGCAGGTACCCAGGGCGGGGATCTGGGCTGGGTCTCTCGGCCCACAGCAGCAGGACCGACCCGTCAGAGGTCAGCGGACAGACGCCCTCCTGACCGTCGGTGACCTCGCCGGAGGGGGGCAGTGAGGGGCGCCCAGGGCCACCGCGCTCTACGCACCGTCTGCACCCCAGGCAGGCGCGTGGCAAGTGCAGCCCCGGCCATCCACTCACCCCCGACAGCTAAAGAAGGGCTTTCTCTTAGGCTAGAGTGGGTCACTCCCTGGCTACCCGCTTCTCCAGACCAGCAACAGGTCAGCCCCGAGGGCAACACCTGGCCCAGCAGGCCCCCCAGTGAAGGGAGAGCCTCACACGTCCTCCTGGCTCGGCCGGGGGCACGATAGAAAACCTGACCACCCGCAGGGGCTGAGCGCGAGGGGGCGGGCGGACACCAGGGGTGCTGCTGCCCGCAGGAAGGGGGCCGCCTGGGATGTGGAAGGGCAGTGGTGTCTGGGCACGTCCGGGGCTCAGCCGGACGCCGCGCTCCTCCAGCTTCGGGCACAGAACCGAGTCGGGCACACGGGGGGCTGGAAAGAGAGGGGCATCGCAGCATCTCAGACGGGAGGGAGCCAGGGAGAGAGGAGGACCCGAAACCTGGGGGTAAACTCTGCCCAGGCCCTGGGGAGCCCTGAGCCCCCCAGGGATGGGAGACTGCGAGGGGCCAGCAGCCCCAGCACCCCAGAGACCACGATGGAGCCGTCTGAGTCTCCACAAGTCAACTCCCAGGACAAAACCAACGCTCTTCAGAACAGAGATCCACTGCTGTGGATCATCTGCGCTGTCCAGCGCACAACCTCCTACTAGAGGCTCAGAGAGACAGGAAGGCGTGACCCACAGTCAAGAGACAAACAGGCCAGGGGAACCGATCCTGAAATAACCCGAGAGCTGAAATTACAGGCCAGGACTTTAAAGCAGCTAATACAGTGTGTTCAAGGATTTAGCGGGAGATACAGCCACAGTAAACAGCTGTCCTATTTTAGTAGAGACATGGAAACTATTAAAAAAAAAAGAAGCAAGTGGAAACTCTAGAAATAAAATTACTACAGTAATTGAAATTTTACAACTCATCGAAATGGACTTAATTTGGATTGCAGATGGAAGAAAAAAGAGATGAAAAAGAAACAAACAATTTTAACTTAGAACCAGGACTGAGTGCCCTGGGAGACAATAACAAACATGTAATACAAGCATCAGGAGGAGAGCAGATATGGGGCGGGAAAGCATCTGAACAGACCATGACCAAATCTTCCCCAAATTCTGTAAAAAAAATTATAGCTCAACAAACTCTGCACAGGATAAATTCAGAGAAAACCTTCCCAAGGACATCACAGTCCAAGCGCTGGGATTCAAAGGTGCAGATGAGAGCCGGCAACATAGGGGCGGGTACACGACGGCTGGCTCCCCCAGAAGGCGGGCGGGCCGGTCAGAGGGCCAGGAAGAGAACCCGGACTCCAAGCCAGCAAAACGGTCCTTTAAAGTGGAACGAAAATGAGCACAGTTCAGAGAAACCCCAACTGAGAGAATCTGTCACCAACAGGCAAGAAATGCTAACGGAGTGTTTCATGCTGAAGAAAACTGATACCAGATGGAAAGTCAAATCTATATCCAAGGAAGGAAGCACAACAGAAATGATGAATACTGGGTAAACATTTTAAAAATATGATTTTCCTTCTTTTAATCTCTTTAAAATACATATGACTTCTTAAAGCAAAAACTGTAACAGTGTTTCATGGCTTAGAGCACATGCAAGATGTAAGACAAATGACAACAAATAGCTCAGAGGCAGCACAAATGGAACTTTTATTACTATTACAATACACAACTCTTACATTTTATCTAAAGTGTTATAAAATTAACCCTAAACAGATGGCAAAAAGTTAAGATAGGCATTTTAGACTACTAAAAAATAATGCAGTTTATAATTGCCAGGACATGGAAGCAACCTAGATGCCCATCAGCAGACAAATGGATAAGGAAGCTGTGGTACATATACACCATGGAATATTACTCAGCCATTAAAAAGAATTCATTTGAATCAGTTCTAATGAGATGGATGAAACTGGAGCCCATTATACAGAGTGAAGTAAGCCAGAAAGATAAACACCAATACAGTATACTAACGCATATATATGGAATTTAGAAAGATGGTAACGATAACCCTGTATGAAAAACAGAAAAAGAAACACAGATGTACAGAACAGACTTTTAGACTCTGTGGGAGAAGGCGAGGGTGGGATGTTCTGAGAGAACAGCATTGAAACAAGTATACTATCAAGGGTGAAACAGATCACCAGCCCAGGTTGGATGCATGAGACAAGCGCTCAGGGCTGGTGCACTGGGAAGACCCAGAGGGATGGGATGGGGAGGGAGGTGAGAGGGGGGATCAGGATGGGGAACACATGTAAATCCATGGCTGATTCATGTCAATGTATGGCAGAAACCACTACAATACTGTAAAGTAATCAGCCTCCAACTAATAAAAATAAATGGAAAAAAATAAAATAAAATAAAACAAAAAATAATGCAAAGAGGTATAGCCAAAAAAGTCAATGCAGGAATTAAGATGCAGCACTAGAAAATATGTGTGTATTTATTACAGATACACACACACTTGGTACATGAACCCATAGATACAAACAAGTGCATCCCTTTGTGTAAATACAGATGCACATGCACTCAACTAACCCAAAACAAGATAAGAAAGGAAAAGCAGCAACAACAAGCAAAAAATAGGACAAACAGAAAACAAAGTGAGACCAGAAAGGCAGGCCAGGCGTCACCGGCCGTCACGGGCAAGTGCAGAGCACCTGGGCGCTGACCACGCTCTTCTGTTTACTCCATCTGTGGTCACATGTTTTCCACAATCAACACTTTTTCATTAGTATTAAGAGTGTTCCAAACGTGATCTATAGTCAAGTGGGCCTTAGAAAGCATCACTACAAACAAAGCTAGTGGGGGGCATGGAATTCCAGCTGAGCTATTTAAAATCCTAAAAGATGATGCTGTTAAAGTGCTGCACTCAGTATGTCAGCAAATTTGGAGAACTTGGCAGTGGCCACAGGACTGGAAAAGGTTAGTTTTCACTACAATCCCAAAGAAAGGCAATGCCAGAGAATGTTCAAACTAGTATACAATTGTGTTCATTCCATATGCTAGCAAGGTAATGCTCAAAATCCTTCAATCTAGGCTTCAACAATACATGAACTGAGAACTTTCACATGTACAAGCTGGATTTTAAAAAGGCAGAAGAACCAGAGACTAGTTGTGTCAGACTCTGTGACCCCATGGACTACACCCACCAGGTCCTCTGTCCACGGGATTCTTCAGGCAAGAATACTGGAGTGGGCTGCCATTTCCTCCCCCAGGGATCTTCCTGACACAGGGATCGAATTTGCATCTCCTACATCTCCTGCATTGGCAGGCAGGCTCTTTACTGCTAGTGCCACCTCCCAAGAGCAGGGCAAACATCAAGCAGATCGACAAAAGGAGGAGGATCGAGGATTAGGTCAGCCCCGGAGTTCCAGCCTCTAAATAAATGGAGTTCCAGAAAGAACACAAAACTGAAAGAAAGTGAAGAAGCACACAAAAATAGACCAGGCCCAGGCTGCACGGGGCTGCCTCGCCCACCAGTGACGAGAACACGTCATGGTGTTCTGACGGCTCAGAACTCAGGGAACAAGGGATGCTCCTGTGGGCCTCCTGGGGCCAGATCACAGAGAATCACTAGGGCGTCTGCTTCCCGCCAGAGCTGGGAAAGTGCCACATGCAGTACAGAAGCAGCTTCAACATTCTGAGAAAACACTCCTCGGTAGAATTCTATACCCAGCTAAACTAAAAGTTAACTGAAAAGCCATCTTCAAAATCAAGAGCAAAGGAAAAATCCAGATGAGGTTTCTTGGCTATCATGAGCATGCACTTCCACAGAACCGGGAGTGAGCCCAGACTGGGAACAGAGGTCCTGAGCGCAGACACCTTGCACACGCAAGTCCCGTGGGGGCCAGGACAGAGCGGGGTGGGGAGCCACACCCGGGAGCCAGGGGCCACCACAAGAGGGGAGCCACAGGCCTGCGCAGGAAAGGGCTTGTGCTCAGGCACCTCGTTCGAGGAACAGACAGGTGAGCAGCAGACACTGGTGTAACCAGCGGTGCAGGGACTGAGCTGGGAAACGGAGGGTGAGGGAGCATCACCGCTTTGGAGGGGAGAGCCAGGGTCCCTGCACCTTCCAGAGAAATCAAACACACAGACTTTAAGACAGCAGCTAAGATGGAGGAAATGCCTGAGAAGACAGAGCCTGGGATGCCTGCCCTGGGAGATGCAGCCAGCAGGACAGGAGAGCGCCTGCCGTCTTCATTCTTTAATCAGTAGGTTTAACTCCTCATCTAAGTGTCCTAGAAGGGTGGCCAAGACCACAGTAAGGGACAAAAATAAGACGTAGAGAAAGATATATACGTAGCCCAGTGTGTGTAAAAACAGAGTCAAGGCAGGACAGGCGTGGGCTATCATCTGATGACCGGGTCGGGGGCAGAGAGGAGGGAGGGGAGAGCACAGGAAGGACGAGCCGGGCGTTTCCTCTGTCTTTAGTCCACGGTCTCAGGGTTGAGTCTGGTGAGCCCCCAGAGACCACAGGGAAACATGCTTGTTAAAATCGAACGTGCCCGTGGTTTGTGTATACTTCAGAGGACGGACTACAGCTTTTATTTTTTTACATTACTTATTTATGTATGTAGGCCGCACTGAGCAGTGTGCAGGATCTTAGCTCCCCGATCAGGGATGGGACCCAGGCCCCTGCAGTGTAAGAGCACAGTCCTAACCCCTGGACCACCACGGAAGGCCCTGCTTACAGCTCTTCTCGGACGGCCAGAGGAGCGGGTAACTGCCACCCCCAAAAGTAAACATGAGCGATCCGCCAGCCAGAACCCCGAGCCAGGCTCATCTCCTCCCCGGGACCACTGCGGCCTCTCCTCCAGTGCTGGGCAGGGACAACACGAGGCAGGAGCAGCAGCGCCCCCTCAGTGGGGGTGTGAAACGGCTGCCCCCCAGCCCACGACAGGAGACCCCAGTCCTTGCAAGAGTGGCCAGGGCAGTCCACAGGGACACCAGGCCAGAGGCCCTGGAGCTGTGAACGTCACCTTACAGACGACAGGGCCTTAGCAGGTGTGATGACACTAAAGCGCCTGCCTGGGGAGAGGACCCGGGTTCCACACACGGGTGTGACCACCGGTGTCCTCCTAGGAGGGACGCAGAGCAAGGAGCCAGAACAGAAAGAGGGAAGCAGAAGCCAGGGCTAGATGGTGCAGGCCGGGCGTGAGGGTGCCCCCGCTAGCCGAGAGGACGTCTAGCCTCCGTTTCTGCTTTTAAGCCACTAGGCTGTGGTCCTCGGTTACAGCCACCAAAGGAAACTCATACAGGTGCTAATCAGAAAGTAAACTGTGTCTGTGAATTCCACCAAATTCAGAGAAAACGCAACACGCCGTGGCTTCGCTATGTTCGTGTACTCATGGACTCGCTGGACAGCCTGTGTCGAGTCTTAACGACACACTGTTCTTCCTTCATCCTGACTTTTGCTTGACCCACTTCAGACAAAGGCAAGCGTCTAAAGGCAGTGTAATCAGAAAGCGCACGTGCTCTCCTCTGCTGTGGGAGGCCTGGACCTCCCGGCCTCCCCCTCCTCACATGCCCCTGCAGGCTGGCCACCTCCTCCCAAAAGGCCACCCAGTCCAGGCCTCCCAGCCTGCAGCTGCTCCTCTGCCTGGCCGCCGGCCCCTTCCTCCCAGATGCCCTCCTCCTAGAAGAGGGGGAAACCAGCCTGCCCTTGAGCCTGGGGCGCCGGCCCACCTAGCACCCGCTGCTCACCTCCTGACCCCGCACATGACGCCACCACCCACCCCACCCCGGATCCGCTCCACTCGCCAGCCCAGGTCCTCCCGTGCCCACCTCTCCCAGAGGCGCTCCACCACCCAGCACCGGGGTGGGCACCTCGGTGATGGGCTTGTGCCCCTCTGAGGAGCATCCCTGAGGCCCAGGCCCCACGTCCCCACCCCACGGCCAGGACCTCTAGGCTCAAGACCACTGGGTCAGAGGATGTTCTGATGAAACGTCCCACTACAACAATAAGTCCCTAAGGCAGGGTTTAAACATCTCTCTTCTTGCTCATTGCCCGCTGCCCACCACCTATCCAGGTGCTTGTCTCAGACCTGGGGTGGAGGGTCTCCGGAGGAGTAGTTCCCTCCCTGCCAGCCTCATGGTCTGTCTGTGGGTCCCACGGCCTCACAGGTGGTGACACTGATGGACACTGACCACACGGATCCACTCACAACCCTGAGCAACCCCATGGTTACAGGCAGGTCCCATCACAAATCCAACCCTGCAACGGGGAAGCCGAGGCACAGAGAGTGGTGGCCTGCCCTATGGTCCGTCTACACCCACAACTCTGGGCCACCCTGTCTACACCCACAGCTCTGGGCCACCCCGTCTACACCCACAGCTCTGGGCCACCACTCCATCTACACTCACAACTCTGGGCCACCCTGTCTACACCCACAGCCCCGGGCCACTCCGTCTACACCCACAACTCTGGGCCACCCCGTCTACACCAACAACCCTGGGCCACTCCGTCTACACCCACAGCTCCAGGCCACTCCATCTACACTCACAGCCCCTGGCCACTCCGTCTACACCCACAACTCCAGACCACAACCCCGCCTGCGCCCGCAGCTCCGGGGCCTCGCAGCGTCCCCCACCCCCTGCCCTGGGCCGCAGCTCGGAGCCCGCATCGGGAAGCGGGCACAGGGCTGCGTCGCGGCGCCGCATTCCCAGAGCTGGGGTCTCCGAAGGCGGCCTGTGATCCGACAATGCGGCCGCCCGGGAGGTCGGACAGGAAACTCGGGAGCCCGTGAGAACTCGGCCCGGGGCGCCCGCCGTCGGTGGGCGTCGCAGGCCCCGCGCGCTCGGCCCTGCCTCGATCCTGGGCCTTCGGGTCCCGCGGCCGCCCCTCCGCCCGGCCTGAGTCGCGCCGAGGAACAAAAGGAGGGCGGCGGCGGCTGGGTGGCCCCAATGAGCCGGACCCCGAGGCGCCGGCCGCCCCCGGCACCCTCCGCTCGGCCGGGCGGGGCGGGCCGCGGAGGCCGCGAGCGCGCGCCCTCAGAAGAAAGAAAGCGGAGGCGGGGCGTCGGCGCCCAACCCGCAACCTACCCGCCGCTCGCTCTCCGGCTGCGATCCGCTCCGCCAGCGCGCGCAACGGTCGCAGCCGCCGTAGCCCCGGGCCGGGAGGGGGCGGGGCCGATAAGAGGGGCGGTAACCTTAGTGGGCGGGATCTAAGAGGGGGCGGGGTTGTGGCCGGGGCCGAGGAAAGGGGCGGGGTCGCCTAGAGGGGCGGTAACCTAAGGGGGCGGGGTCTAAGAAGGGGCGGGGTTGTGGCCGGGGCCGAGGAAAGGGGCGGGGTCTCCTAGAGGGGCGGTAACCTGAATGGGCGGGGTCGAAGAGAGGGCGGGGTTGTGGGGCGGGGCCTTTGAAGGGGTGGTCCATCCTTGGTGGGCGGGGCCGTCCGTGTCTGGACCAATGAGAGGAGGGGCCGAGTAGGGCGCGAGTGGTGGGCGGGACCTGAGGCGGAGACGGGGGCGGGGCCGGGGGGAGCAGGACCTTAGGAAGGGAGTGGGGCGGGCTTGGCCTCCAAGGCTGTGGGCGGCTCTCAGGACGCGGCCGGCGTGCGCGGTCTACAGAGCGGAGATGGGGCGTCCAGTGGATAACAGGAGGGGCGGCCCTTCCAGGGGAGAAGGTGGAAAGAACCGAGGGACGGAGCCCGGGGGGCGGACCTGGAGGGGCGGGGACACCCCCCCAGAACTGGGGCGGGGCTTCCGCTACCCACGCACGGTGGCGGGTTCGGCTCTCGCTGTGGACGCCCTGCGCCCCCCGCCGCTAGCAGCCCGTATACCCTCCCGCCCTACGCTCTCCACCCGGTTTCCGAAGGCGCGTTGACACTTATGTGCCCCGCTTCTCGGGGTCCCCGCCCCCTCCTCTCGACAGCCTTCCGCAACCTTGATGCTCGCCAGACCCTATTCTGCCGGGACATCATTTTATTTTTAAGGAAGGGAAGCGGAACAGAGTGTGGTGTCCCAACAGCACGCAGTCGCCCCCTAGTCCCCCAACAGGAAGGAGTGGTCAGGCAGGCCTGGCAGGCGCCCAGCTCCACCCCGCTGTCCTGGAGGTCCCAGGGGTACCTGCTGCCCTCCTCTCCTCCTGGAACCTGGCCTTGTTCCCAGGAGGACCATCCAGGGTTACTGTCCCGCCCCCCCCCCCCCACGTCCAGTTGTCTTCCTCCTCAGCAATCACTCCTTTGGAAATTCCGTTTCCCGCTAGTCACAGTGACCTAATAGCGACCTGCCAGAGCATTTTCAGGAAACAGTCGGCTGGGCATTTATTGTACAAGCCAAGAGTAGGAAAGATTTAAGCCCAGGACTCCTGGCTGTCCACACCTTGACTCTCAGTTATTCGGCCAGCTCCCAAACCTGTCCAGAGCCTCCTCGCTTGTAGGATAAATCATCGTGACAAATATTAATACACTAGCCATCGCACTTCAAGCCCTTCCACTCACGGTGGAAAAATCAGAAATCTTAACTGATGCTTCATCTTCCCTTCAGTGTTCCCAAAGTGGCAGCAAATTTATATCTGCAAACGAAATTCCTCAGACAGAATCCTGGGATGCGGACCTGCATCAGCAGGAGGGTGTAGGCATGTGTGAGGGCAGGCACTGGGGCCAATGGTCTCTACAACAGGACAGCTACGGACTATGTCCCCCCCAAAATACACATGTTGAAGCCTGTTCCCGGATGTGACGGTGTTTGGAGGTGATGAGGTCATGAACGTGGAGTCCCGTGAACGAGATTAGTGCCCATGCAAGAGAGACCCTGGAGAGCACCCTCATCCCATGGGCCACAAGAGAATACAGACCAAAGACACCTGTCTGTGAACCACGAAGCAAGTCCTCACCTGACAATGAATTTGTGCATAACTTGATCATAGATTTCTAGCCTCAAAAGTGCAGGAAACAAACCTCTATTGTCTCTGAGCCGCCAGTCTGTGGTATCGTTGGGGTAGCAGTTAGTGGGGTGGACGTATGATCTTCCAGGAACACCTCGATTCGCTTGGCCCACCCGTGCGCTGAGCCGGCAGGGAGCACTGGGCGCCACTTGTCAGCTGGGGCTGCTGTGACAGCCGCCAAAGACCGGAGGACTGAGACAGCAAGTGTTCGTGTCTCACATTTTTGGAGCCTGAAGTTCCAAGATCAAGGTGCAGATGGGTCCTGCGTCTGTTGAGGGCCCTCTCCCTGGTTTACAGATCGCTGTCTTCTCAGAAGGAGGAGATCAGAGAGAGAGGACAAAAACTCATATCTCTTCCTCTGCTGCTCTTAGTCTCTCAGTCATGTCGGACTCTTTGCAACCCCGTGGACTGTAACCGTCCAGGCTCCTCTGTCCGTGGGATTCTCCAGGCAAGAATACTGGAGTGGGTTGCCATGCCCTCCTCCAGGAGATCTTCCCTACCCAGAGAAGGAATCCAGGTCTCCCACAGTGCAGGTGGATTCCTCACCAGCTGAGCCGCCAGGGAAGCCCTGTCTCTTCCTGTAAGGGCACTAATCCTGCTCGTGGGGACCCCCCCCCATGGCCTGGTCACCTTAAGGAGCACCCCTGACACCACCACCTTGGGGATCAGGGTTTTAACACCTGAATGAGGTGGGGGGGATAGACCAGAGTGGCACGGCTGCAGCTTTGACAGCCTGCATTGGCCAGGCCAGCCTCACAGAAGGTCTGGGGCAGGTGAGCCAGACAGTTCTGCAGCAGAGACCCCACTCCCAGACCCAGAAGATGCACTCGCCCTGGTGTGGGGGTCCTGGCTCCCCTCCAGCCTTCCAAGGGCTGATGACTGGGCAATGAGAGGCCTGAGAAGGAAGGGTCCTGGGTTTCGCTTCTCATCCCTTCACCCAGGGTCAGATTGCTCCAAATGAAGCCATTCACAGGCAGCCCAGAGACGACCTGCATCCCTGGGCTGAGGGCCGGGCGCTGCACAGGCTCTGGGGACAGCCTTGCGTGTCCCCTCCCATCCCTGGTTTCACCGCCCTCCCACAGGCTCTGTGCTCTAGGGAGCCCTGGCCCAGGCTGGCATGTCAATTATAACCCTTCCAGAAGGCAGGCCGCCAGGAAGGGATTTGGAACTGGATTCCCACCCTGTGTGAAAGACCCTGCTGCTGGTGTGAGTGATGTGAGGGCAGGACTCGAGTCCATGGTGACCGCTAATGCCTTCGTTCATGGTCACTGGGCCAAGATGCAGGCCAAGGCAGTGCTGGGATGTGTGAAAATTAACAAAGGGAAATCTCACTTAAAATAGAGCTGGGGGGACCTCCCTGGTGGTCCAGTGGTTATGTTACTGAAAGGTATGCATGGGGGTCTGGCTGCTTGCCACTCAAAAGCCAGTAAACAGGCCAGGTTGGTAGAAATGAAAGTTTACTTTGTTTCAGATGCTGGCAACTGGGGAGGAGGGTGGTGGACATCTGTCCAAAGGCCAACTTCCCAGCTCTCCCCGACCAGCAGGGGGTGAGTGCATTCACAGACAGTGGCGGGGGGTTACATGCAGAAACAGCACAGCCATCTAACAGTCCCCCGACCAGCAGGGGGTGAGTGCATTCACAGACAGAGTGGCGGGGGGTTACATGCAGAAACAGCACAGCCGGCTCTAACAGTCCCCCGACCAGCAGGGGGTGAGTGCATTCACAGACAGTGGCGGGGGGTTACATGCAGAAACAGCACAGCCATCTAACAGTCCCCCGACCAGCAGGGGGTGAGTGCATTCACAGAGTGGCGGGGGGTTACATGCAGAAACAGCACAGCCATCTAACAGTCCCCCGACCAGCAGGGGGTGAGTGCATTCACAGACAGAGTGGCGGGGGGTTACATGCAGAAACAGCACAGCCATCTCTAACAGTCCCCCGACCAGCAGGGGGTGAGTGCATTCACAGACAGTGGCGGGGGGTTACATGCAGAAACAGCACAGCCATCTAACAGTCCCCCGACCAGCAGGGGGTGAGTGCATTCACAGACAGAGTGGCGGGGGGTTACATGCAGAAACAGCACAGCCGGCTCTAACAGTCCCCCGACCAGCAGGGGGTGAGTGCATTCACAGACAGTGGCGGGGGGTTACATGCAGAAACAGCACAGCCATCTAACAGTCCCCCGACCAGCAGGGGGTGAGTGCATTCACAGAGTGGCGGGGGGTTACATGCAGAAACAGCACAGCCATCTAACAGTCCCCCGACCAGCAGGGGGTGAGTGCATTCACAGACAGAGTGGCGGGGGGTTACATGCAGAAACAGCACAGCCATCTCTAACAGTCCCCCGACCAGCAGGGGGTGAGTGCATTCACAGACAGTGGCGGGGGGTTACATGCAGAAACAGCACAGCCGGCTCTAACAGTCCCCCGACCAGCAGGGGGTGAGTGCATTCACAGACAGAGTGGCGGGGGGTTACATGCAGAAACAGCACAGCCATCTCTAACAGTCATCTTCAATTGATCATCAGTGGTCTGACTATCAGCATCTTGGTTCTTTTAGGTACAGTTAATCTTCAGTTCTGGAGTGCACTTGTTGCTATTTCTTTGCAGTCAATTCTCGGAATTGTGGCAGCTCGAGCCCTGGGTTCAGCCTGCTCATCACAGAGTTGACTTCACCTGGTGTTTTGCTGTCTGTGGGACAGCTCACAGGATGTGGCTCAGAAAATTATCTGCAGCCCTTGAGAAAGAACTAAAGGTCCTTGACTATGTTTAACGACTACATTAGTATCGTTTAGTCTCCTTTGACTCTTTTTCTTTGTTTCAGCATTTCTCACTTCTCTGATTATTCTTGGAGTTAAGTTTCCTCTGGCAAAAGGCAGGCAGAGAACAGGGCGGGGGGAGGCAAGGACCAGGCGGGCCTCCTCTCTTTCAGCTAGGCACTCCATGTTTTCACTGCTGTAAACAAGGTTGATCCCCGGTCAGGGAACAAAGATCCCGGGTGTGCGTGTTGTGGCAAAACACACGCACAAAACCAAAACCAAACACACACAACAAACAGAATAAGGAAATAAATAAAATAGAGTTGGGAAACCTTAAAGGGGACCTCTTGCCTACAGGGAGAAAGTACTTGGCATCTTCGCATCTGGGCTGCTTTGCTTCCCACCCCTGCCCCCACCCGGTAGGAGGAAGCTCCTCTCTTCACCCGGCAACAGCCTAGCCAATGACAAGCCTCCACTGCTCGGCCAGTGAGAAGCCGTCAGCCCTGAAGCCCTGCTTTCCTGCAGTGGGCTTGGGAAGCAGCCACCAGCTCCTTCCCCGTTTGTCTGTATCAGGTGCCTCTTTGCCACCCCCACCCCAGCCCTACATTTGCCAGACTTGCTCGTGGTTTGGCCATACCTTAGACGTCTCAAATGCAGTTCCTCTGCTGTTCCTGAACGAACTCATTCTACTGATAAAATAACTGATGGGCTGTTTTATCCTCGAGGTTGGCAGAGGTAAGTGACGGTGCCACGTGGGCACCTGCCCTCTGTTAGCAGCCCCCTTTCTCTCCAGGAGGAGGCCCGTTGGGGCAATAAAGAGTGTGCTCACGTAGCCTAAGACCTGTTCTCTATGGAGAGTCCCAGGGCCTGGCGGTGGCTGCCCTTGGGGGCCGACAGTGGACGGTGGAGGGGCTGCCACGGCTGGTCCCTCCCTGGACACTGCGCTCGGGAGGGAGTCCAGAAGAAAGGGGCTGTGTTTCCTCCGAAGGAAAGGTGGTGGAGCCACGGGAGCGGGCAGGCTGGGGAGGCCTGACCCCGGGGGGGCTCTGTGGCAATAATGTTCTCCAGGCAAAAAAGATGGGCAGGTCATCGGGTGCTGGTCATTTTCCATAGCTGAAGAAAAGGAGGACTGGTGAGCAGGAGGCTGTGGCAGCAGACCCAGTGGAGAGCCCAGGCCCTCCCGGGTTCCCGGATCACAGTCCAGGGCCCAGAGCCCTTCCGCAGAAGGACCTGTGGACCTATTCCGCCCACAGGCCCTGCACACTCACCACTGAGTGGGGGCACTGGGGTCTGACGAGCACCTCACAGTGCTTCCCGCACCTGGGCCATCCCTGGAAGTCCCGAGCCGTGGGGGACACACTGCCAGGCCCCTCTCCCAAGCCTGCGTCTTCTGTTCATCCCTGCTCAAGTGCCCCTGGGGGCCCCCATCATCTGCAGGAAGAAATTCACTGAGTCCAAGGCCGGCATTCAAGGCTCCACTACATGAGGGCCCTTTCTGCCTTCCAAGGAGTCGAAAGGATCCCACCTTGGGCCTTACAGCCGGGCATCCAGATGCAGCTGGACACAAGGCCAGTGCACCGTGGTCCGAGTTCCCTCTCACTCCCGAGCCAGCGCACTGTCCTTGGCAGGCCTGCTGGGAAGCTGCCCCCAGCCCATCACCTGTCAGGGTTCAGCTCAGGCGCCACACACACCCCGCCCTTGTACCCACCAGACCTGCAGACCCACCTGTCACTGTCCCAGTGTTCTGTAAAGGGGTCAAGTTCAGGTCTGGTCCCCACCTCCCAGACCACACCCCTCCACCATGAGCTCCTAGACAGGAGGGACCATCGTTAGGGTGGGCTTCTGAGCACCCACCCATCCCAGGCACGTGGTAGGCTTGGGGACACAACGTCCTGGACAGGAGCACAGGAGGCTCCAGGAACTCTGGGTGGACCGGCCCAACCCAGGTGCCATGTGTTGGGGGGGGGGGGTGCGCAGCAAATCAGGGCGGGGGAAGCCGGCCAGCAGAGAGGCCTGCAGGCTGCTTCAGGAAGACCCTGAGAACCACGCCTGGGACCCTGGGCAGAGAGGCTTCCAGAAGTGTCCTTGGCTGGGTGAAGGAGGGGACAACAGAGAGGGGCAGTGGTGGTGATGCTGGGGACGGGAGACAGTGACCCGGCCTCGGAGACAGAGAGGGCCCTGGGGAAGGGGCCGTGGTGGGCTAGAGAGCCTGGAGGCAGCGGTGTGGGCCAATCGGAGACAGAGAGGGGCAGTGGTGGTGATGCTGGGGACGGGGGACAGTGACCCGGCCTCGGAGACAGAGAGGGCCCTGGGGAAGGGGCCGTGGTGGGCTAGAGAGCCTGGAGGCAGCGGTGTGGGCCAATCGGAGACAGAGAGGGCCCTGGGGAAGGGGCCGTGGTGGGCTAGAGAGCCTGGAGGCAGCGGTGTGGGCCAATCGGAGACAGAGAGGGCCCTGGGGAAGGGGCCGTGGTGGGTTAGAGAGCCTGGAGGCAGCGGTGTGGGCCAATCGGAGACAGAGAGGGCCCTGGGGAAGGGGCCGTGGTGGGTTAGAGAGCCTGGAGGCAGCGGTGTGGGCCAATCGGAGACAGAGAGGGCCCTGGGGAAGGGGCCGTGGTGGGTTAGAGAGCCTGGAGGCAGCGGTGTGGGCCAATCGGAGACAGAGAGGGCCCTGGGGAAGGGGCCGTGGTGGGTTAGAGAGCCTGGAGGCAGCGGTGTGGGCCAATCGGAGACAGAGAGGGGCAGTGGTGGTGATGCTGGGGACGGGGGACAGTGACCCGGCCTCGGAGACAGAGAGGGCCCTGGGGAAGGGGCCGTGGTGGGTTAGAGAGCCTGGAGGCAGCGGTGTGGGCCAATCGGAGACAGAGAGGGCCCTGGGGAAGGGGCCGTGGTGGGTTAGAGAGCCTGGAGGCAGCGGTGTGGGCCAATCGGAGACAGAGAGGGCCCTGGGGAAGGGGCCGTGGTGGGTTAGAGAGCCTGGAGGCAGCGGTGTGGGCCAATCGGAGACAGAGAGGGCCCTGGGGAAGGAGCCGTGGTGGGTTAGAGAGCCTGGAGGCAGCGGTGTGGGCCAAGGCTACCGTGCGCCCCAGGGGGTTAGACGGGGCGGTGCCCCCTGCCTGGGCCCCGCTCGCACCCTGCCCCCAGCTGAAGTCCTCGACCCCAAGCGGCCTCTACTGAGGCCACGGCCCGTGCGGGTCCGCCAGCCCTCCCTGAGGACCTTCTGGAGTGGGGGGCAGCTGAAGCAGGTGACCAGCCCTGAATGTGTGGACTGCACCCCTGTGTTTTGGAATACATTAGGATCCGTGAACAGCAGAAATCAATCAAGTGAAGCACCGTGTGGTTTTTAACCAGAACACACGAAATTAATTAAATAGACCATATTGTCGCTAAATAGAACTTGTATTAATTAGGGACATTGTTACCAAACAGGGTGGCATTAATGAAATAGACCATATTGTTACAGAAAAAGAACATACACCAATCAACCAGAGCATGGGGCTGCTGGTGGTCTGGGGAGGGGGTGGCCCCACAGGCAGCCTGGCCTCGGCCAAGGTCACTGAGCCGGAAGGGGAGGCCCCTGCCTGGTGTGAGCGTCCTGGCCGGAGCAGACCCAACGTTGAGGTGTCTCTTCTCCACGAACCCCCTAAACACGCCAGAATGAACCCCTCCTGCTGAAAAAGTACCTACTGGGGAACAGTGTATGTCGGGAGATCATGTTTTCCTCCACAGAAATTAAACAGGAAATAAATCCGAAACATCCCCTCAAAACAGGGCGATGACAAGAGGTCATTTCTGAACGCCCCTCGGCCTTCTGTGACAGCCCTCGGCTCCTTGGTGGACTCAGACTCGCCTTTCAGACCAGGACTGGGGAGGGCGAGGGTCCCGCCGCGGTCACGCCCCAGCAGGCACGAGCCCATGCTCCTGCCCGGCCCAGCTGCGTCTGGGGCCCCGGGTGTGTGCAGGGCTCCCTCGAGCAGGCACCCCTGGGTGCTGGCGGGTGGGTGCTCCCCGGCCTGGCCTCCCCTTCCCCAGCCCCGCTCCTGCCCGCGCACAGCTGTGCCACGCGGGCTCCGGGAGGCGGTGTCCCGGACCTGATGTCGTTGATGTGCACTGATTCTGAGTTCAGACTGCATTTGCCGGTTCACGGATGGAAAGCTGCCTGTTATGTAAGAGTGAGCAGAGGGCCCCGACGCCACCCAGAAGTTGTAGGGCTGTAGGAAGTTTGCCCCCAGCCCCCCGCCTGGGCTGCCATGAGAAAGAGGGGGACAGTAAAAGATGCCTTTCTGAATCTAGTCTAGAAATGCTTTCCCACCCACTGACTGCGTAGGCGCAAACGTTGCAGACCACAGCGGAAGGTCTGACCTTGGCCTTCTGGGGGCTGGCCCAGTTCACCTGGGCCCCTCTAGGCTTTCGCACCACAAGTCCTCTGTCCCTGAACCCCCGCAGCCCTCAGCCCCGCCGCCTCTGATAGATGTCAGCGATAACCGGGGGACGCCCAGGCTGGACACAGGCATTGCCTCTCACGCCTCAAGGAATCACATTTCCCAGTTGGTGCTGGGAGGGGATGTCCTGGGTCACCCCAGCGGTGCCCCAGCCCGGGGCTGTAGGGGGTCTCCACAACCAGTGTGCTGGATCGGGAGAAGGAGTAGGCAACTCCACAAAGCCGCGTCTACACGCTGCAGTTTTCACACGCTTTTCAGTCTCAGGATGAGAGGGTTGGATGGCATCAGCCTCCTGGGAGGCTGCCATGCTTCCTTCACCTTAGAACTCACCCGATCCCCGCCTATCAGACGACCGCCCCGCCCACCCAGGTTCCCATCCAGGCCTGCAGGCCCGTCCTGGGGGCCTGTGCTCCCATCTGTGCAGGCACAAGGGGAGACTCTCACCGGAGGCCCAGGGGCCGCGGGCCTCGTTCGCCTGCCACCAGGTTCCTCCACGGCCCTCTGGAGCCCCTCTGGCCAGTCCCTGCCACCCTTCAGCCCCTCCACAGGATCCTGGATACTCAGGTCCCCGGGCCACAGTGCGGATGGGCACTCCACACCCCATTTGCCTGAATACTAATAAGTGAAGCCAGTAAAATGTTCAATAAAATGCCTTCTGTCCTTCTGCCTTGACAAAATTCCCATAAAGCAACAAAATTGAAACAGAGCAAAAACTGTGGACTTTTCCTTTTTTTTTTTTTTTTTGGTGAAATAGAAAAACACAGGGGATTCTTTGGTGGCCCAGTGGTTAGGACACCATGCTTTCATTGCCAGGGGTCTGGATCCAATCCCTGGTCAAGGAATTTGTATTCACACTTAGCCACTCAGTCGTGTCCGACTCTTTGAGACCCCATAGACTGTAGCCCACTAGTCTCCTCTGTCCTTGGGGATTCTCCAGGCAAGATCACTGGAGAATGATGCCAGGCTCTCCACCAGGGGATCTTCCCAATCCAGGGGTCGAGCCCAGGACTCCCGAATTGAAGGCGAATTCTTTACCATCTGAGCCACTAGGGCACCGCAAACCACATGGCATGGCCAAAAAAATCACCTCGTAACCATTTCTCAGGGTGGAATTAAGCTGTTTGGCAGCTGTCACCACTGTCGGTCCACAGAACTTCCTGAACTAAAACTCTGTCCCCTTTAGACACTCACTCCCCATCCCTCCTCCCCTGGCACCCGCCCTTATACTTTTTGTCTCTATGAATTTGACTCCTCTAGGGACCCTCATATTAGTGGAACAATACAGCATGTCTGGTTTATTTCACTGAGCATAATGTTTCATCTGGTCCCAACACTTCATGGCAAATAGATGGGGAAACAATGGAAACAGTGACAGATTTTATTTTCTTGGGCTCCAGAATCACTGCAGATGGTTGCAGCAATGAAATTAAAAGACACTTGCTCCTTGGAAGAAAAGTTGTGACCAACCTAGACAGCATGTTAAAAAGCTGAGACATTACTTTGTCGACAAAGTTCTGTCTAGTCAAAGCTATGGTTTTTCCAGTGGATGGATGTGAGAGTTGGACTATAAAGACAGCTGAGCACCGAAGAATTGATGCTTTTGAACTGTGGTGTTGGAGAAGACTCTTGAGAGTCCCTTGAACTTCAAGAAGATCCAACCAGTCCATCCTAAAGGAAATCAACCCTGAATATTCATTGGAAGGACTGATGCTGATGCTGAAGCTAAATCTCTAATACTTTGGTCACCTAATGTGAAGAGCCGACTCATTGGAAAAGACCCTGATGTTGGGAAAGATTGAAGGCGGGAGGAGAAGGGGACGACAGAGGATGAGATGGTTGGATGGCATCACCGACTCGATGGACATGGGTTTGAGCAAGCTCTGGGATGGACAGGGAGGCTTGGTGTGCTGCATCCATGGGGTCTTAAAGAATAGGACGTGACTGAGCAACGGAAGTGACTGAAGATCTCAAGGTTCATCCATGTTTAGCTGGTGTCAGAATTTCCTTCCTCTTTAAGGCCGAGTGATACCCTGTCGTAGGATGGGATTGTGCACACTGTGTCCCTCCGTCCGTCCGTCCGTCCGTCCGTCCATCCGTCCACGGCTGCTTGGCTGCTCCCGTCCTTGGCTGTCGTGAATCAGGCTGCTGTGGACATGGGAGTGCAACTGTCTATCCCAGCAGCTGCTTTCAGTTCTTTTGGGTTTGTATCCAGAAGTGGAATTTCTGGGTCATATGGAAACTCTGTTTTTAATTTTTTGAAGAATCACCGTACTGTTTTCCACTGCGGCATTTTACATCCAACAAATGGAGCACACAGATTCCAGTTTCTCCACATCTTCATCAACACATTATTTTCTTTTCTGTTTGGTTGTATTTTTTTTGAAGACTTTAAAAATGTATTTATTTTTGGTTGCATCAGGTCTCCGTTGCTGTGTGCAGGCTTTCTCTCGTTGCCGGGAGCAGGGGCTACTCCTAGTTGTGGTCTGTGCGCTTCTTATCATGGTGGCTTCTCTTGTCTCGGAGCTTGGGTGCCAGAGTTCTCAGCCTTCAGCAGTTAGCCCCATGGCATGTGGAATCTTCCCAGACTAGGGGTCGAACCTGTGTCCCCTGCATTGCAAGGCAGATTCTTATCCACTGTGCCACCAGGGAAGTCCTGTTTTTAATTTTTTGATGGCCATTCTGATGGGTGTGAGGTGGTATCCCACGGTGAGTTTGATTTGCATTTCTCAGATACTTAATGACGTTCAGCATCTTTTCATGTACATATTGGTCATTTGTATATCTTCTAAAGCTGTGATTTTTATACAACCACCCGATAGCAAAATACCAAAACTATTTGTTTTTGCTTATGTCGACAGGCCTTGATGGGTCAACTGATAACAGAAAAAAAAATGCACTATTCATGAATGACTTATGTTATTTATGATAAATATCATAAAAGATAGTTATTAGAAAAATTACTTTTCCTGCATTCATTTCAGCAAAATCTGTAATTATGTTTTTATAATTCAGATTTCCAGAATATTTGTGTTGGTTTTGTATTTTTTCTGATGCACTTCAGGATGTCAGTTCCCCTTCCTAGGGACTGAACTCAGGCCACAGCAGCAAAAGCCCAGAATCCTAACCACTAGGCCCCCAGGAAACTCCCTCTGTTGTATTTTCAATTTGAAGAAACTTTTCTCTGCTGGGGCAAAAGCAAACATAACTGTCAGTAAAATTCTTAGAGCAAATATTTAAAGTTGAAAAGAACCACAGATTTTATAGATCATGTTCATATGTTATGGGGTTGCATATGACACTATTGTTATCAAAGAAAATATTACAAACTAATTTCATCATATTCATTGGAAGGACTGGTGCTGAAGCTGAAGCTCCAATACTTTGGCCACCTGATGTGAAGAGCCGACTCACTGGAAAAGACCCTGATGCTGGGAAAGATTGAGGGCAGGAGGAGAGGGCGACAGAGGATGAGCTGGTTGGACAGTATTGTCAGGCGAGTGTATGTTCCTCGGTTCTGTCTTGTCACAACAAAGATTTGAAGTGACGGACATTAAAGCCCTCGGCGCGGCTCTCGGGTCTTGAACAGACCGTGTTGTATCTCTTAGACAAATCAGTGTTACAGCTCCGTGTTACAGCTCTATTTTATTTAGAAAATAGCAGGAGACTCCATCCTCCAGGCGTGAGGGGATGCCGACCCAAAGACATGAACCAGCGTGGGGGTGGGGGGGGAGCGGGGCGGCAGAGAGAGAGCTAGCCCTACGGCTCCTCTTTTTGTATGTTTTCTCCTCCCCCAGGCCTGCCCTATGCAAACTGGCCTCAGCCAGGAGTGCTGTCTGTTCCACCTGAGGTCCTTACTCCGGCCCTCGGACATTCCTTTGACCTTCCTTTGTTCTATTTTCGCGGGCTGTTCCCTTCCTTGCCTTTCAACCACCACCATTTTGGACTCCTGTTTCCTATTCTAACTACCTAACGGCATCACTGACTTGATGGACATGAGTTTGAGCAAGCTCCTGGAGATGGTGATGGACAGGGAGGCCTGGCGTGCCGCAGTCCATGGGGTCGCAAAGAGTCGGACATGACTGAGTGAACTGAACTGAACTGAATTTCATCGTAGAAATCACTATAAGATAGTTAAGGAGGAAACAGACAGAGCTGGGCTCCATCTTCGGCCAGGCTGCGAACATTAGGCCACACACATGGTCACCCTCCCAATGGACTCTGAACTTTGTGCCGGGGTCTATAGAAATGGCACACCAGTGGAAAACCAGACCCCCGGACGAAAGAGCCTCAGGACCTGGACTCTCCGTTGCCTAAAAGAACATGCTAATTATCTCTGTAACAGAACAAAGTGGTAAATTCCATTATATTTAGCGGGATATGACCACAGTCCTATTGATAAATGTCCACTGTTTATCTAGTCTTGTGACACATGAATCATGGGTTAACTTTGATCATATCTCTCTTTTACCTTGTCCAGACTAGTCCAAATCCAAGGAATTTGGGGAGGTGGGTTTGAGCAAGTACACTTAGGGTATATAAGGTTTTCACAAAAACTGGTCGGGGTCCTTGGCTAAGAGGAGACCCTGCCTTGGGCCCGCCAGTGTGATAAACTGCTCTCCACTATCTGCATTGTCCTGAGTGAGTTTGTTTCCCGGAACGCGTGGCTACAACAATAGCAAGATTTTCACCATCTCTTAAAACTATATCTAGCTTCATGTAGTATTTTTAAAGTTTTTATTAATACTTTGAATTTTCCATGTTCAGGTATTATTTTTAAAATACCAAAACAATTTATTCAAATCTCTCTTCAATTGAGATTATTTCTTAATCTAAAATGAAATAAGATAATCTCTGTGGAGTCAATTAAAGTTATTTTTATGTGAATCATCGCCATCATGCAAATGTTTTTACTTCCTTTTTCTAATTTCCTTGCATTTTACTAGGACGCTATTTTTTTGTTGCTTGGATCATGTGCAATTTCCTTTGATGAAGAAAAGCTATTTTCTCTGTAATCAAAAAATTTTTTTAATTTTTTAAACATGAAATAGTCAATCTTCTTTAATTATTTTTCAGTAAGCATTTCCTCATGTTATCAATAGCGTCGATGCCCCAGATGACTGAACAGGGCAAATCTGAAGTCAGCTTCGTTTTCCTCTGAGGACCGTGGCCGTCTCTACCTGAGGATATCCTGCTATTTCACTTAGCTCTTCTAATGCAGCTGAATCTTGTGTAAATTAAATCTAATTGCTTTAACAGCGCTTAATTGATGTTCTTCTTGTGTTGTTTAGGGTGATTTTAAGGTCAAATGCGATACACGTTTCATGGAGATGTTCCATCCAGGGGCAGGCTCAAAATCCATCAAGTATGGTTTTCGCCTTATTCTGAAGCAGGGCGTCCCTGTCGGCCTCCTGAAGCCACGCCTCTGAGTAGTGAACTCGGACTCCAGGCCTGAGCCGGCACAAAGAGCCTTCTGGGCTTCAGGCCACAGCTCTGTCTTGTTCACTTTTTCTTTTGCACATCGTGATTCATGGTCTTCCCCTGGCAATCTTTAAAATTATTTAAATGAGGGCAAAGTTGCTTTATTTGATTGCTGAAAACTTAATGGGGTCTTCTTAAAGAAACGCTCTGTGTCCAGGCTGCACCCTGCTGCGGGCGTGCAGTGAGGGCCCCGCGTGGAGGTCAGGTCCAGCCCACCTGCACGTACGTGTGGAAGGACGTGGGCGCCCCACGTGGCAGCTGCTCCTCAGCTCCCAGGGAAGCTGCAGTGAGGTCTGCTGACCTCTCAGACCCTCCAGAAGAAGCGGGGATGGCAACAGGGAGGAAAGCAGGACACATGGCCGTCAGCACTGTCTGAACACGCTGTTTATCATCCGAGAATCCAGGCGCCCACTCCATCTGCAAGGGAGGGTTTGACAAGCTTGCTACTTTGAATGCACACTCAGTCATGTCCGACTCTTTGCGACCCCAAGGACTGTAGCCCACCAGCCTCCTCTGTCCATGGGATTCTCCAGGCAAGGATACTGGAGTGGGCTGCCATTTCCTCCTCCATGTTACTTTGTCTTTTACATTAGTTGAAGCTCTTTCAATGTGGAGCATAAGGAGGAAAGAAAATGGGGCTTCCTCTACCTGGGGTGTTCAGTTCAGTTCAGTTCAGAAGGAGGCAAAGGCTTCCACTCTCAAAGTAACAACAAGAAAATCCCAGGGAAAAAATTACACCCTGATGGCTCCGTGGTAAATAATCTTCCTGCAGGACAAGAACTGCAGGATTAGATCCCTGGGTCAGGGAGATCCCCTGGAGGAGGACATGGCAACCCACTCCAGTGTTCTTACCTAGAGAATCCCATGGACAGAGGAGCCTGGTAGGCTACAGTCCATCAAGCTGCAAAGAGTCAGACATGACTGAGCGACTTAGAAAGCATGCATGAGGATAGTAGGCCAGTTGTTGTTATTGTTGTTGGTCAGTCACTAAGTCAGTCGTGTCTGACTCTTTGTGACCCCATGGACTGCAGCACATCAGGCTTCTCTGTCCTTCACCATCTCCCTGAGTTTGCTCAAACTCACATCTATCAAGTTGGTGATGCCATCCAACCATCTCATCCTCTGTTGCCCCCTTCTCCTCTTGCCCCCAATCTTTCCCAGCATCAGGGTCTTTTCTAATGAGTCGGCTCTTCACACCAGGTAGCCAAAATATTGGAGCTTCAGTATCAGTCCTTCCAATGAGTATTCAGGGTTGATTTCCTTTAGGATTGACTATTTGGTCTCCTTGCAGGCCAAGGGACTCTCAAGAGTCTTATCCAACACCACAGTTCAAAAACATCAGTCTTTCAGCGCTCAGCCTTCTTTATGGCCCAACTCTTACATCCGTCCATGACTACTAGAAAAACCATAGCTTTGATTATACGGACCTTTGTCAGCAAAGTGATATGTCTGCTTTTTAATACACTGTCTAGGTTTGTCATAGCTTTCCTTCCAAGGAGCGTCTTTTAATTTCATGGCTGTGGTCATCATCCGGTAGGTACAAGTAGACCAGCAGATACAAGATAACATTTATGAACTGAATTCTTGAGAAAGACAGCTCTTAACCAAGAACAGACTTTCACGATTATATATATTCACAAATATACAACTGTGAATCACTTTGCTGGAGACCTGAAAGATTATAAATTGACAAGACTTCAATTAAAAAAGAAAACCAAGACTGATTTAATGGTGATGGTCGCACCACTCGGTAAATGTACTTTAAAAAATCTTCAGCGAACCCCCTCCTAGTCCAGTGGTGAGGACTCTGTTTCACTGCCGACGGCCCAGGCTCAGTCCCTGGTCAGGGAACTAGGCCTTGCATTCTGCAGCTAAGATCCGGCTCAACCAAAGAAATAAATAATAAAAATGAGTTTTAAAAAAAAGGCAGCAGGGGAACAGGAGGTGGAGGGCTGGGCTGAATGTAAGCAAACAATGTAATTAAAGCCTTGTCCCAGCTCCAGGAACAGCTTGACTCCTGGAGGAATCCGAACAGTAGCTCCAAACCCAAACTGTGGAACGGATCGCCTTCTGTGGGAAACAAGCAGGACGAAATCAAAATAAAACATTACGTATCAGTCACCCCTGTTCACCCACATACAGTGTCCGGAGTGGAGTTAAAAATTACAAAAAGTGTGAAGCAGCAGAAAAATTTGGCCAAAAATCAGAAGAAAACACAGTCAAAAGATATAGACCACAAATGATCCAGGAATTGAACTTAACAGACACATCATGTAAAAAGATATTTATGAGTATGCAGAAGAATTACAGACAAAGAGAAATAATAGACATGGGGTATTTTGGAAGACAAATGGAAACTAAAATCTCAAAAGAAACTCAATCACTGAAAAGTACAATATCACAGTATCTGAAATGAAAAACTATTGGCTAGGCTTCTAGACACTGAAAAAGAACATTTCAGTCAATTTGAAAACAGGTCAGTATGGATAATCCAAACTAAATCACAAAGAGGGAAAAGAGACTGAGTAAAATGAAAAAGCGTACTGTAGCCTATGGGATGATACCAAGTGGCAGGACGAATCTGTAACTGGAGTCACAGAAAGATAAAATGGGGAAACATCTTAGAAGAAATAGCAGCCAAGTTTTCCTCAAATTTGATTTTTAGAAAATCAATCCACAGACCGCCAAATTCAACACACCTAGACACAAACTGTTGAAAACAACAACAACAAAAAAAAAAAAACCCTAAAACATTAGAAACATCTAGAAGGAAAAAAAAAAGAATACATACATTACCACCACAACAAAAATGAGGGAGTTCTTAACAGAAACAACGGAAACCCTAAGACAAAAAGAAAGCAACATTTTAAAAAGACTAGGCACAAAAGCTGTCAACTGATAGGTCTAAGTCCAGTGAAAACAGCCTTGAGAAATAAAGGCACAGTAAAAGGCATTTTCAGGTAAACAGAAGTGACTCTAAACACGTGTTGTAAGAAATGCTCAAAGACGTTCTCTGGCTGAAGGGAAATGATGCCAGACGGAAATTTGGATTCACACAAAAGAGCAGCAATGGTAAATACGTGCGTAAAGAGAAAAGATCTATTTCCCCTCCTTTTTTCATTTCTTTAAAGGAGAGCTGAACATTTAAAGCAAATATAATGACAATGCTTTATGAGGTTTACAGGAAATATACATGTAAGTTATGCAAAACAGTCACAGAAAGAATGGGAAAGGAAATGGAATTTTATGTTGAAAGGTCTTTACATTATACATGAAGTAGTATAATATGATTTCAAAGTAGAATGAGGTAAATTAAGGATACATATTGGAATCCCTAGAGCAAACTCTAAAAACATAATTCAGAATATTGTAGCAAAAAACCCAATGGAAGAGACTTCCCTGGTGGTCCAGAGGCTAAGGCTCTAAGCTCCCAGCGCAGGGGGCCTGGGTTCCATCCCCAGGTCAGGGAACTAGATCCAACAGGCTGCAACTAAGAGTTCGAATGTTGCAATGACAATCGAAGATCCTGCATTCTGCGACTAAGACTATGTGCAGCCAAAGAAATAAATATTTTTTTAAAAAGCAAACAATGGGATGGACTTCCCTGGCAGTCCAGTGGTTAAGGCTTTGGCTTTTAATGCCAGTGGTGTGGATTTGATTCCTGGTTGGGGAGCAAAGATCCCACCTGCCTTAAGGCCAAAAAAACCAAAACATAAAACAGAAGCAATATTGTAACAAATTCAATAAAGAATTTAACAATGGTTGAAGTAAAAAAAAAAAAAACTCTTAAAAAACAAAAACTCAATGGAGGAGACAATTTTTTTTTTTTTCATTTTAAATCAGTTAATCCAGAAGAAGGCAGAAAAGGAAGAAAAAAAAAAAGCAAAGAACAAATAGGACAAATAGAAAACAATTAGTAAGATTATAGGTAGACTTAAATCTACAATATCCCTAATTACATTAAATATAAATTGGCTAAACATTCCGACTAAAAGGCAGAACATGTCACAGTGGATTTAGAAAAAAAATGCTATATTCTAGTTTAGCAGAGACACACTTTAAGTAGAAAAACACATTTAGATTGAAAGTGAAGAGATAGAAAAAGGAATACCATGGGAAAATAGTCATGAGAAAGGTGGAGTAGCTGTATATTCAAATATTTGAAGCAAAACTGTGAGAAGAGGAGACAATAATAATAGACAAATATTAATTTATAATTTAATATTTCAACATTTGTCTATCATAAATTGATGAAAAATTAAAAAAATCAGGGAGTATATAAAAGATTTGAACAACATCATCAATCTAACCTAATTAATGTGAGTAGAAGACTACCCCATCCGCTACAGAATAGATTGTTTTCAAGTGTACACTGAACATTTTCCAAGAGAGAACATATGCTGGGCCATAAGATAAATCTTGTTAATTTTAAAGGATTGACGTAATACAGCATACATTCTCTGACAGCAGAAATCAATAGTGATGCCTAGAAAATCACTCAGTTTTTGACAATTAGGTAACACACTTCTAAATAACCCAAAGGTCAAAAAAGAAATCACAAGGGAAATTATAAAAAATATTTTAACTGAACTGTTAAAATCTCAATATACTAAAAATTGTGGTTTCAATTTTAAGGGTTTATAATAGAAAAAAGTGATTTGAAAGTCATGATCTAAGCCTTCTGTGTGTGTGTGTGTGTGTGTGTGTGCCCACACGTGCTCCATCGTGACCCCATGGACTGCAGCCCGCCAGGCTCCTTTGTCCATGGAATTTCCCAGGCAAGAACACTGAAGCAGATTGCCATGTCCTTCTCCACGGGATCTTCCTCACCCCGGGATCAAACCTGCATCTGTTGCATCTCCTGCACTGGAAGGTAGGTTCTTTACCAGCTGAGCCACCAGGGAAGCCGATCTAAGCCTCAATTAAGGCAAAGAGGCGAAAAATAAAGAACAAACTAAACCAAAAATAAGCAAAGGAAATGGATTAAATGGAGGAAGGAAGTAATAAAAATAAGAGTAGAAATTAATGAAATACAAAAGAGCCAAACCGCAGGGAAAACAAACAAGAGAGCCAAAAGTTGATTTTTTGAAAAGATTAATGCAACTTATCAAACCTTAGTAAGATTAATGAAAGACAGAGGGAAACATAAACTACTAATACAATGAATATCATTACAGAGCCCCACAGATAGCTAGTAGAGACTAAGAAAGTAGTTGGTTTAATATTTGAAACTCAACCATTGTGATTCACCACATTATCAAAATAAAGGGGAAAAAATCTTGCAATTATCTTAGTAAATGCAGAAAAAGATTTGTCAAAATTCAATACCCGTCTGTGATTTAAAACTCTAAAAAACTAAAAATAGAAGGGAATTTCCTCAATTTAATAGAGTAGGGGTTTCCTGCTTTTTGCCTCTT